TAAGACTTGCCCATGCTCACATGACTGCTGAGCAGCACCATTAGTATTAAAACCCACATTATTTTTTTATAGTCTTACTCTTCTTGTCTCAAAATTAACATGAGGAAAGTAGCCATGCTTAATTCAGGGATTAGTGTAAAACTTATGAGAAACTCTATCACCCTTTCTCTTTAATTATTTAAGCAAGTACTTTTTACCACAATATTAAGGGACAGTCTAATGAGAGGTGACTATTTTACCTCTAACAAAGGTTGTTCACTTTTCTTAGCACCAAGGTGGCTCCTAAAAGATGCTCTGTAAATGAAGTTTTCAGTGGATCTAAGTGCTGCTTCTTAACCTTCTGTGGGCACACCAGTCATCTTGAGATCTGGGTAATAGGCAGGGCCTGGAAATTCTGTGCGTTCAAAAGGTTCTTGGTAATGATTATTTTGCTGATGCCTGAAAGATATACTCTGAATAGCAAGAGACTTAAAGAGCCCTTATTAATTAATTCCTATTAATAGATAGGGACCAGGGGTTCCTGGATGGCTCAGTCAGTTAAGCATCAGACTTTGGCTTAGGTCAGGATCACACAGTTGGTGGGTTTGAGCCCCACGTCTGGTTCTGTGCTGACAGCTCGGAGCCTGGAGACTGCTTCGGATTTTGTGTCTCCCTCTCTCTCTGCCCCTCCCCCACTCACACTCTATCTCTCAAAAATAAATGTTAAAAAATTAAAAAAAAAATAGGGATCTTGCAGTGAACCTTTTCAAAAATGAAAAATTCTTGAGATACCAGTTTTATATGGTTTTATTTTAATATCTATTCCTAAAATTGGAACAAGTCTATATTAGCTCTTTGACACTTATTTTCATGATTTCATTTATAAGTCTAGAACAGGCAATAAGAAATTTCAGGATCTACATTTAAGCCAGGGTGACATTTCTGACACCTGGAAAAAAGTGTCAATTTAGAAATTTAGGGGTAACTGGGTGGTTCAGTCTGTTAAGAGACCAACTTCAGCTCGGGTCATGACCTCACAGTCTGAGAGTTCGAGTCCCATGTCAGGTTCTGTGCTGACAGCTCAGAGCTTGGTGCCTGCTTCTGATTCTGTGTCTCCCTCTCTCTTTGCCCCTTCCCTGCTTGCTCTCTGTCTCTGTCTCTCTCTCTCTCAAAAATAAACATTAAAAAAAATTTTTTTAAAGAAATTATTTGAGCATATGGTAGAAAATACACAAAGAAATAGGATGAGAAATTTTCTAGGAACGTACACATATGTACCATATAGAAGTAAAAAGCAATCAATGTTTACTGACCAGAAAATAGCAAATCTCAGGAAAGAAATGGTATCTTATCATGCATCTACTGAAGTATGAAACATTAAGAGTTGATGGAGGAAAAAATAAACTTTATAAGCTCATATCACATTGCACAGTCCCCAAAAAGTATACTGCCTTTGTACATTCCACATCTTGTACCACAGACTTCATCATAATGCAATAAAAACACATGGTTAACTACTAATTGAGACTTGAAAAAGTCTTAATATTTCTGGAGCAAATGTGATCACCTCTAAGAGAAACCAAAGACTATTAAAGATTTATTGCATAAATAGCTTCCTGAAAATGTGTTTCTCTAAGACTTCTTTAACTTGATCTCCCCAGGACAAGAGCTTTCCTAGAAGATGAAGGACAGGAGACCATCCTAAGGTATCTAGGATTGTAGGACATGCACCTGTATCCCATTATGGACACTCAAAGTGAGTGTGTCTCGGGAAGCCTGGGTGGCTCAGTCGGTCGGTTAGGCATCCGACTTTGGCTCAAGTCATGATCTCATCATTTGTGAGTTCGAGCCCCGTGTTGGGCTCTAACAGCTTGGAGCCTGAAGCCTGCTTTGGATTCTGTGTCTCCCTCTCTCTCTGTCCTTCCCCCGTTCTCACTCTGTCTCTCTCTGTCTCTCAAAAGCTGAATAAAAGTTAAAAAAAAAAATTTAAAAAAAAAGTGAGTGTGCCTGGGGTAAATGATTCAATCTTTCTGATCTCAGTTCCTTTCTTTCATAGCTCTCAGAACTGCTGGGATTCAATTAGATGCAAAAACCACTTGATAAATCAACATACCTATGAAGGTAGGGTTTTAAATTTTTATTGACATAAAAAAATCTACATGGAAAAGCAATGATCGATGGATGCTTACACCACCAAATGAAATGTTGATGGGGAAGAGTAATTTTACTGAGTAATAAACTATCATTCCACAGACTATTTACAGGTCATAAAGGAAAAAGGCAGCTTCACAATGGAGGGATCAAGCTGAAGTCACTGATCATTTTTAGCATGATAGAAAGTGGGACAATAATAACAATAATAATGTATGCATCTTGAGACACAATCAGCAGCACATGACACCTTTGTGGTACTTTCACCAAAAACACTTAGCATTAATCTAATCAAGTCTTTAGGTCTAATTTCAAGGTTATAGAGAATTACAGTGGCTAGCGCACCAAGTAAAAAACACAAAACTCAGAAGCCAGTTGGTCTAATTTAAGATTGATCTGTGTCACAAAATAGCTGAACCTGATTTCCTTGCAGGAAAACAAAACACATGTGTGTAGCGATCACTGGTACCTAAAAAGTGACTTAAGAGATAGAATAACTAACTGTAACGTGTGGACCTCATTTGGATCTTTCTTCGTATAAAGCAGCAGTAAAAAGACATGTTTAGATCAACTGGGTAAATTTGAATATGACTTGACTATTAGATGATATTAAGACGGCACCATCAATATTTTTAGGGGTGTTCAGTGCACTGTAGTAATATAAGAGACTATTTAGAAACGCAAATGAAATATTTGGGAGAGAAATGCCATTTGGTATTTAACAGATGTCAAATACCTCAGGGAGGGGAAGTGTTTCTGTTAGGATCTTAGTAATACAGCACAGCAACTGTAGCAAAGAGGATGAAAAGGGGGGGGGGAAGAAGATGAAAAACAGAAAGAGAAAAGAATTTCCTACCCACAAGGCAAGAAGGTTTCGTAAATTTTTAGACCCTAGGGAGCTAGGAGCAACAGTAGATACTGGGGCATTTCTCTATCTGGAGGCTATCTTCAATTTTAGTCTCTTGGCAAAGCAAGGGCTTTTTCAGGGGGAAAAAAGGCAAATCATGGTCCATGTAATTCTCAAAATAAGCAGCCTCTGTTCTAAACTCCTCAGAATGGGAGCAATTCAATAAACAGCTCTCATGTTTCAGTGGTCCTATGGACTATTAAGTCTCAAAAGTTTCTTCTTTTGGGCTGAAATCAACCACATTTCAATATGAGGCAAGCTTGCTTTTGTGAAAAGCAGTAAGAAGGCTGAATTAAATCCATTCAGCCATTTAAAAATTAAGTGAGTCTCACAGAGATTTTACCTACATTTCCTGTAGGAAGTTTTATGCACTAGTAATTCAAATTTACTGTACTTCTTAACTTTTAATATCCATTGGCCTTGTACTTTGACAGAATAGCGAAATACAGTTTTCTTTCCCTTTTTTCAAGAATAAGAGTGCTCTTTAAAAAATAATTCATACACAACTTTTAGGCATATCCACTAAACAGACTTAATCATGAAATGGAACTAGATTAGTACTAATTTCCAAGGATTTTAATTTTGTGATGAAAGAGAGACTGTTCTTTTCCCTTCCTGTAAAATGTAAATATGTTGGCCACTGAATTAAAAGGCCATAATAGTGGTTGTAATTTGAGTTGGAAAATGAATATAAAACCATATAAAACAAATGTGGTTGTCAGTAAAGATAAACTCCAAATAGTCTAATCATTGACAAAGTTGAGTCCTTTAAGTATGAATTAAGAATCTCATTCAGGAAGGACCAAGAAATCTTACCTTTCTGATACTTACTACATTCAGAGTAATAATTTTCTCAAATATAGTACGGGCAAATTTCTTCTGACTCCAAAAGCAAGGAAGGGTTATTTGAAACACACAAAAGACAAAAATCTGGACAAGACCCATGGCTGATTGGACAAGACAAAAATTCCATTTTCCCATTAGATATTCCTCAGTAGCAGTAAAGGACTTGAAAATGAGTTTTTGGTTTCCCTGAAGGCTAATTCTAAATATAAATATAAACTTAGAATTTTTTCCCCAAACAGTATGGTGAAAGCTTTTAATAAAATGTGAAGTTGAAAAAGAAGCAGAATATAAAAGCATGTACAGACTAGGTAGCAGAATGAGTACCCAGGTATTTATTAGTTTTATTGTTGTTCTTTACACCTTACACATATTTAGAGATGAAATTTTATTACCCAATATTTAGTAAAAAAAAAAAAAGTAGATAGTATATAAGTGTGTGTATGCATATGTACATTGGTTGTGGGGATATATATTTGTATTTGTGTGTGTGTGTGTGCGCGCCAAAAACCTGTCCTTACTGGTTCTCTGTGTAACAGTTTCCTTGCAGGATTACGGTATGTGGGTACAATATTATTTATCGACACCCTGCTTTATTCCACAACTGTTGTGCCATGTAAGCATTGGGGAATATGTTTGGGAAAGCAGTCAGGAAAGAAAGTCTCATCCTAAGAGAAATTTTTTTGTTTTTGATTTTGTTTTTTGTGGGTTTTTTTTTGGGGGGGGGGTGAAGCTCCAGTGTAGCTTTATAAAAAGGGAGAAATGGGGTAAAATAAAACCACTTAGCTAATACCTTGTTTCAAGGTTATTCTTTGCAGCTTTTCTTACAAAAAAATCCATCTAAGCTAAAATTACCACACATAAGACACAAGACATTTCTGCACATATTAGGTACAATTTCACACAGCATAAAAGCTCCCAGAGAGATAGTTCACAAAGGCTAGATTAATAGATCAAGTTGAAATAGCAGTAAACACTCAAGGCATACATGACAATGTGGTTTAATACAGTGATAATGTCACAAATGTCTAAACACTGTCCCAGTGATTTTCAAGGTGAAATAGGCCCCTGATGCCCTCAATGTATAAGCATCTGGAGATCTTGGGGACCTCTGACTCACCTGTTCCAATACCACCTGCTGCAATATTCTTAAGACTGCCAGTGCCTAACTCATGGAAGCTTTCCTGGTGCTGCCTGTAAAGGAGTCTCAAAGATTCTCAAGCCTTTTCAGAGTTGAATTTAATTATTTTCTTGAATACGTTCAGAGTGTTTCCTAAGTCATCACAATAGTCATGTATGCAATTCTGTTTACAACAACTTAGTGAATATCACCATTCACTTCATTCTCTCAAACCTCAGCCACACCATTCATGCGCCGACTGGGAAATAGTTATCTGGAACCCTTTCTCTACCAAGAACTGTACCAGGTGCTGGTGGAGACTATAAAAAGCTCCTTTCATCTCTACTCTCCCCTATTATCCTCCCTTCCCCCTTACCCCTGGCCAAAACAAAAAACAAACAACAACAAAACCAAAAAACAAAAATAAACTCTCTTCAATCCAACTGAAAGGCAAGTTTGACAGTTGGTCTGGATTCAGCATACTAGAGCTCACAGTTAAAATTTATTTCTACATTGGGCTAGAAATCGCCATGTGGGTTTTTCCCAACAATTAAGTCTCTCCCACTCCCCTACCCCCACGGCAAACAACTATTTTTTTATGTATATACAAAGCAGAGAACATCTGGAAAATGACATCAACATGACTCTTCAGTTGCAAAAAGACAAGATTACACCATATACTAAAGAAAAAAAAAATCTGAAGGTCTGGTGATATTTATGGGTTTATCCTCAAAGCCAAACTTCAAATATACCAGAATGAATTCTTCTATTTTAAACCCATATTTCAGACTTTTTGTCTATAAATAACAATGGGACTAGACATAGAATTTTATTACTTTGTCTTGTTCTGGTTTTGAGTCTCAGCTAGAGTCACAGCTTTGAGTCTTTAACAACAGGGCAGGAACTGTATTTCTACTGCATCCCCCCCCCCCCCAAGGAGCACACATCCCCTCCTGAGCCCCATCATATGGTGGCCACTGTTCAAAGCACAAAGTTCCTCCCAGACCTGACATTCTTCTAGGGGGAAGTCAGACAAATTAAATAAAAGGGTAAATGATATATTCTGTTGGAAGATGGTAGTGCTCCCAAGAAAAATGAAAGCAGGGAAGGTGGGGAGAAGGAGTCCTGGGGGATGGCAGGAGGGTTACAGGTGATTAGGGACATTCTCCCTGAGAAAGTAACATCTGAACAAAGACTGAAGGGGGAGGGAGTGATGTAGATATTTGGGGCAGGCCTATTCTAGGCAACATGTGCAAAGGCTCTAAGGCAGAAGAATGTCTGCTATCTTTGAAAAATGGCAAGAAATCCAGTATGGCTGGGAGTATGGGGGAGCATGGAAGAAAATGAGGTCCTAGAAGCAGTGGGGGAGGCAGAACAAAGGGACCCCATATTTTTCAAATTAGTAGTAATAAACAGAAATGAAAAGTAAGATAGCTGGCATTCATTGAGCTTTTACCATGTGCTAAGTGCAACTCCAGAGAGGTTATGCTATTATCTCCTTAAAAAACAAGAAATTTGTTACTCTAATATGTATAGGGTAGACTTTATGCTATAGGACACACATAGCAGTAAGTCCAAAACTTTACAGGAAATATTTCCTTATTTCCCTGAACAAGCTGTTTTGGTTTTGTTTTGTTCTTTCTGCCTTAACATGACTAAAACCTTTGATATATGGTGCAGTTAATTTCACTTTCCCATGCGTCTTAAAAATAAAAACATAATTCCTTATAAATGTCAGATGTCTAGCCTATTTCCAAGTTATGTTTTGTATGTGATTTTCAAGTCTGTTTCAGTACCACAAGTTTAAGGAGTTCAACTTATAAAATAAAAAGTTAATAAATACAGTTCAGGACACTATTCAGAGTTCAAATCATAATAGCATCCTTTGGTTTAATGAATCCTTTAACACAACTTCCTTTCTGAACTATATGGTGCAACTTAATGTTTCTGAGTGGTACAAATTACATCTACTGTAGCCAAAAGGCACCGTCCATGTTCTGCTGGCATGTTCTCTTCTTTCTGATGTTCTTTCATTTAAAAGGCATCCTTGCCACCCAGCTGACAGGGCATCTGGGTGGCTCAGTTGGTTAAGTGTCCAACTTTGGCTCAGCTCATGGTCTTAACGATTTGTGGGTTTGAGTCCCACATCGGGCTCTGTGCTGACAGCTCAGAGCCTGGAGCCTGCTTCAGATTCTCTGCTTTAGATTCTGTCTCCCTCTCTCTCTGCCCCCCACCCCCAGCCTGTGCTTGTGCTCTCTTTCTCTCAAAAATAAATAAATAAACATTTAAAAAAAAAAGGCATCCTTACATACAGAAATAAAACATTCCAAAGGGCTGGGCTTGCTAACCAAATTAATTAATGGAAGCACCAGATGAACCTTCATAAAGAACTTCAGTAGATTCTTTATTACTTAGTTTCTACTAATTAGGAAACAATTTGAAGATAATCTCCTAAACATGAAGAGATTGTTCAGTTCAACCCGAGAAACATTTACTGAGCACCTCTGTCAGGTGCCAGGATGATGACGACAATCCCAGTCACTCCCTCAAGAACTTACAGACTAAAGGGCAGACAGAACCCCAGACCTAGGGAGATGATAGAAAGTCTGGGGTGGGTGCAAACACTGATACAGAAGCTACCCAAATAAACTTGTGCTTACCTTTTAAGAAGCCACTCACCTAGAACATCAGACATCTGCTGTCCCATCTCTAACCAAATATATACAAGTGATGACTTAAGAACAGACCTTCCAATAGTAACAGATAAGAGTTGGGCAGAATTTTTAAGGCAATTTTTAAGTATCCAGTTCTATGCTTACAAGTTTCCTTAGACACTGACTGCTTATTTTTACTCTTCACTAACACTTCAATCACAAAGAGGAAATCTTTCATACACATCTCCAAATATTTTGGGGAAGGGAAAATCAGGGATGTTTAGTTAGCACAAAATCTTCACATGAATTAGGGTATTTTATTCTCAAAACTTATAATAAAGGTAAGAAGACTTAAGTCCAAGCCTATAGATTTATAGTAATTGAATCAATACTAAAGATTAACTTATATGTGGTGTTATGAAGTTCAAAAACCATGTGAAACAATCTGTATAAATATCTCAATTTAGTTAACTAGGTCCAGAGGAGCAGGGCAGAAGAAGCAGCAGATGTCAGACCAAATCCTGCTCATCAAGTCCTACTGTCTGGGGCCTGGCAGGCTATAAACACTAGAAGAGGTGGCCACTTAAAAATTAAATAAATAAATGAATAAATAAACAAACAAATAAATAAATAAAGCAAAAGCACCAGATAGGCAAGCGTCAGCCCTACAAAGGAACCAGTATAGCTTCTCCAGACTCTGACATAAAAAACTGGAATAATTTCACTGACTAGGCTTATAAATATTCAGATTAAAGTATCACATTCATTTCCTGAAACAGAACACAATGAATGAAAGTGTAATATTAAGTTGTCCATGACACAGATGGTAGCCATTTATCATAATCCTTACATTATAAAATGTTTCCGCCATCTCAAAGCTGATTTGAATCAGAATTACCTGGGGGAATTTTTTTTTAAGTGCCCATGGGCGATTCTGATTCACAATCCAGAGCTGGGGCTTTACAAAGCTTCCCGAGACCGTCGTGATCAGGCAGGTTGGGGACCCGAGAAGCACCAGACTAGGCTGACTCCCAGAATAATGAAGGTAAAATGGAACAAACGGTCCTCTTCTCATCAAAAACAGACCGTTATGCCAGGGCTGCCCTCTTGTAAACATGAAGATGGCTAACAACACCTATGACCACCATCCAACCACAGCCAGTAGCGTATCTCAAGACCAAATGGGTGTGCCTGCTTAAACTTAGGGACACTTGCCAAACAGGTGACCCAGGGCTAATTGGGAACATCACAGATGTGAGAAATATTAAAAGAAAAAAATGACTGATTATTGCTTCATTCAAGAGGTATCAGAACCAGAGTTCCTAGGAGATTTTTTTTTTTTTCAGTAAATGTCCCAAATCTAAGTTTTGCTTTTTTTGTGTGATTGAATACTTATGCCTTTACTGGTTCTTTTAACATCCTAAACATATAGGATGTTTCATGGAAACTCGAAGGACAACATCATCTTCCACCAGTCAACTGCTATAAAATCTCAAATTTGAAGCTCAATAAAAAATCTAAGCAATCACACTTGTTCCCTGAGAACTGCTCTACCAAGCACCTGTTCACCAGCCTGGATGATCTTGCACATCTGAAACTTCTTTGTAAAGATGGATGGCAGTTTTGGTCAGATTAGTACAGGGACACAGTGTCACAGGGATTCACAGACCTGCAGTATTAAAGTTGCACCTTCAGGAAGCACCTGGGTGGCTCTGTTGGTTCAGCACCTGACTCTTGATTTTGGCTCAGGACACGATCTCATGGTTGGTAAGATCAAGCCCAGGATCCAGCTCCCTGCTGGGTGGAGCCTGCTTGGGATTCTCTTTCTCTCTCTCTATCCCTCTCCCACTCTTTCCCTCTCTCTAAAATAAATAAACTTAAAAAGAGAAAGTTGCATCTTCAAACAGTGATGAGAAACATTTTTTAAGTGCTTAAGATACCTGTGATCAAAATCCTACATATTCAATAAAAGCATACATGTTTTTTAAATTTTTTATAACGTTTATTCATTTTTGAGAGACAGAGTGTAAGAGTGGGTGGGGCAGAGAGAGGGAGACACAGAATCTGAAGCAGGCTCCAGGCTCAGAGCTGTCAGCACAGAACCAGACTTGGGTCTGGAACCCACCAACTGTGAGATCATGACCTGAGCCAAAGTCCAACCCTTAGCCGACTAAGGCACCCAGGTGCCCCCAAAGCATACATATTTATTAAATGTTTAGGACATGCATAGCATTCTATTAGTGCCAAGGCATATTTTGTCTAAACTTCAGCTTTGAAACAAATAAATTGGTATGTAAGCAAACTTAGGAAACACCAGTAACATCTTAAGTAGCCATGCTTCAGACTGGGAATGGATATGTGGTTCAGTGGGGGAAAAAAAAAAAGCCAGCATTTGGTTTAGCAGTGAAACTTGCTTCATTAGAAAACACGGGTGGGGGTGGGAGAGCTGTCAAAATATTCTAGATGGTTAGTGCTATTCAATAACCTCGGTAGAATAGGGGCAGAAGTAGGGAAGGAAAGAAACATGAACTGAAAAATCAAGAAAAGCTCTCCTATCAGGAAAAGAACAATACTAACAAAGTTCAGGGCTGGTGAAACGGCTTACTGCTTGGCTAATTGGTGGGTGGATCACGCAGAGGCAGATTGGGCTGTGGATTAATTAATTACGTCCAACCTGAAACCAAGGACCAGGTCCACAGAAAGAGCAGCCTGGTCGGGAGTCGACTCGCTCAAACACCCACGAAGGAGCCACAGGACTCCAACTTGGGGTGCAGGAGGCACACGAGTGAGGAGCGGCAGGGGCGGCCCGCTGGCCCACAACCCCGGGGAAACATCTGCCCCCGGTTCCTGCCGCCGAACGCACCACCGGATCTGAGCCGCGCACGGAGGGCCCCTGCCGCCCAGCAACTCGGCAGCCTTGTCAAGGGAGGCTTGGGGCAGCACGTCCCCCACACGACTCCCCCCCCTGTGGCGGCCGGTCGCCACCTGGGCCATGTCACCTTCTCCGAGGGCCGGCGGAGTCAGGTAAGTCTGAGATGAAGTGAGCCTGGCTTCGGGCAAGAAGAGCGAGCGGGCAGGCGCCGAGTTGTCTTCTCTCGCTGAGGGAGAAGGAAGAGTGTGGTGGGGAACGATCAGAAATTCAGTTAACTAGTAATACTCGACGACAGATGCGTCGGCCGAGAAAGGCAGGACTCCTCGGGTGCCGAGAAGTAGACCACTTTCCTCCCGCGCGGTCCCAGGTCCTCAGGCTCGGCCCGCCCCACCCGGCTCCCCACTCACCCAGCTCGCCCGCCTGCAGCCGTGGAGCGGGCGGAGACCACAACAGAGAACCGGGGCAGGGCTGCGGGCGCCCGCCACCGCTCCTCCCCGGGCGACGCCTGGCTCGCTCTCGGCCTCCCCTCGGGGCGCAGAGGCTTTCGCTGCCCGCTCGCGGCCGCCTCCATCCGCGGCCGAGGCGGACGGCCGGGACGGGCGCAGCCCCGCGACCCCGCACCACCAGTCCCCGATTGGGCGGCTGGGAGCCCAGCCCGGCGGGGGCGTCGTTCGCCCCGCCCAGCCCAGCCCAGCCCAGCCCAGCCCCGCGCGCCGGCCCCCAAAGGAGGAAGTCGAGCTCCCTGGCGGCTGCTGGCCGAGAGGCCGGAGGCGCACCAGACTCGGCCCGCGGTCTCCAGTAGGTACCCGGCGCCCCTCGCTTCACTCTCCCCTTTTCTTCCGCCGCTCTTCCCCCAATGCACGTGAACCTGGGAGACAGAGGGACACCTGGCCTGAGGACCTGCCCTGAGCCCCGCTGTGCCTAGGTCCTCCCCAGAGTTCCGGAGCGCGCGGTGGGTGCGTCAGAAAGGCTGCTCTCCACCAGGGCTTTGCCAACCCCACGGGGGCGGGCAAGCCAGGAGAGCAGCACTGGAGAACTCGAAATGTTGTTTGATAGGTTGATGATGGTGACAATTAAAATGTAATTCAAGTCCCTCCACTCATTCATTCAAAAGTTATTAAGTTCCAGCAGTGTGGCAGGCAGGCACAGTGCTAAATAAACCCTTGTGACACTTGCAGACGTTAAAAATAATCAGGCAAGTGTATAATGCAAATTGCAATAGGTAACATGAAGACTACTTGGGGAGCACATTCAGGAAGATTTAATTAGATGGCGGGTGAAGAGACCGCGGGGGAGCAATCAGCCAGGAGAGGCCTCACTTAAAAAGTGGCTTCTAAACTGAGACTGAGTGGGATTTGGGAAAGCAGAGGGCGGGGGACTGGAAGACAGCCGCAGAGTGCGAAGGAACTGAGGGAGGAAAAGGCCAGGGTGTCTGGAGCAGGGTGCACAGGTGGTTACATGGCAAGAGGTGGAAGCCCGTGCACGCAGCAGGGGCCAGAACGTGGAGGGCCTGGAAGGCCACGTAAAGGCTGTTTAACTTGACCCTCGGACTAGAGAGCAGCCACGGAAGGTTCGGACGCGCGAACTGATTCTCCGGGGGTGTGGAGAAGGGCTGGGGCGGGGCTGGGGGAGGGCAAACATGAAGAGTGAAGATTTACAAGGCTATTAAGTAGTTGAATGGGGAAGCGGCAGTGCAAATGAACGTGGACAGATTAAATACATATTTTATTTATTTTTTTTAATTTTTTTTCAACGTTTTTTATTTATTTTTGGGACAGAGAGAGACAGAGCATGAACGGGGGAGGGGCAGAGAGAGAGGGAGACACAGAATCGGAAACAGGCTCCAGGCTCTGAGCCATCAGCCCAGAGCCTGACGCGGGGCTCGAACTCCCGGACCGCGAGATCGTGACCTGGCTGAAGTCGGACGCTTAACCGACTGCGCCACCCAGGCGCCCCTAAATACATATTTTAAAGACTGTGATACCTTCAGCCTGCTTGCAGGTCTCCCGTGCTTCCTCCACTGCTGCACCCTGCAATTTTCCTAGGTAACACGCAGCCATAGTTAACACCTGCTAGTCCCCCCAGAGGTCCAATATTCGCCAGCCGCATGCTCTTTGGATACCCTGATAGACTCTGTTTATGCATGCATTCATTTTTTCGTCTGTCATTATTTTTTAACCAGGTAAAAGCCCTGTTGAAATTTCCAATGAGTTTGTCTTTGGGCTTTGCTTTCTCAAAGACGGCAGAGCCTACGGGAAAGAACTTGGACTTTAGAAATGAGGCTGATCCAAGCCTGAATCCCGGATCAGCCATTGACTAGGATTGATCCTCTCTGGGCCTCACTTTTTTGGGGGAATAGAATACGTAATTGTCCTGGCTGTCACAGTGAGGAAATAAAGTATGTATATACAGTTCTAGCATGTAAGAAGTACTCAATAAATAGGTTTATCACATTTGTATTAAAAGTAAATTCAGGGGTACCTTGGTGGCTCAGTCAGTTAAGCAAGGGGCTCTGGATTTTGGCTCAGGTTATAATCTCACATTTGTGAGATCCAGCTCCCACTCCCACCGCGTGGGTCTCCTTGCTGACAGCAGGGAGCCTGCTTGGGATTCTCTCCCTCCCTCTCTCTGCCCCTTCCCTGCTCCTGTGCTCTCTCTCTCTCTCAAAATAAATATTAAAAAATATATATATTTAAAAGTAAATTCACACCCATGAAAATATTGAATATTCTCACACAATAAACATAAAGGATACTTTAAAACATTGAATTACTCCCTAACTCCAGCTTTCCCTGTTTCTTTTTTCTCTTCATTCCTTCTAAGAAAGTGAGTTGGGGCAGCTGCTGCTGCCCTCCAGCCGGTGAGGATCTGTGAGCAATGAATGAAGACAATGAGAGTATTGTTTACAAGTGAGGAATTCACAGGGTGAGCCAGGTGGGCTCCCAGAGGTGACCTTTTCCATCTCAGGTAATACTTTCATGGGAATGAATTAATCTATTCTACAACAGAATCCTGAGCCAGATCAGAGGCCAGGTTTAGGATCTGGTAACAATGACCGAACAAGAAGGCCAACTAGATCCTAGGGCTTTCAGTATGCCATGCTTTTCTTGAAAAAATAAAAGCAAAGCATAATGAAAGAAAACTATGAAAATACAACAGATAGTCAATTACAGTTTTGTATATAATGAAATACATAGACCTTACCAAATTGATCTACTTCAATCATATAGACTTTCATGTTCAGCATGTGTGTCTGTTTTACTCTTGAGAAGATTCCACTATGATTTTTTAAATAATGCATTGTGGAATCTCAGAACTTAAAGTTTGAGATTCTATTGAAATTATAATTATTAGGATCCACTTATAGCATCTCACATATTAAGATGAAAGAACTACTTATCACGTGAAACCTCTCTGGAAGGGTTTCTCACAGAGCAACTCCACATTTAACCTGTCTCCTCATTTACCATCCAGTCGTTCCATATTTTGCATATCTTACTGCAGTTTATGTTTACATTTGCTAGCTCTTCTGTAAAAATAGGGGGCAGCTAGCTGGTCAGAGATGCCTTGTTTTGCATACATAATATGTATTCTGTATTGCTTAGGTAAGACAGAACTTAAACAGAACTGCAAGCCTATTACTCTAAAGTATTTAGAAAGCTTTAGATTGTGCTTCAATTTGACAACCTCATCAATTGTATCCTTAACATTTGGTAACCCTGTTGTGATCTGTGAAGAAGACCAAATGGGATATAAATTTGAAACCCAAGTAGGCTTCTACTTCCTGAATGCTCCCTCTTTTTCAGTTATTCAATAAATTCAACCCTAGAAATACATTTTGAACTTTTCTGTATGCAAAACAATCTGATGGAGATACAATGAAAACAAAGACAGGTGCTTCTCTCTCTCCATTCATAATCCAATGGTAGAAACTTGAGAAAAGTAATTACATGGGCTCATAAGTGCAATGATGGGAAAAGGCCAGAGTGTTAGAGAATCACCAAGGAAGGAAAGGTATATAGCTGAGGTTTCAAAAGCCTGGAAGAGTTGGGAAGAGTGAAGATGGGAATTAGAAGGGAAATATTGTTTGTCAAATGAGAAGAATTTGTGAGAAAGCTCAGAGATAGAGATCATAGGGTACTCATAGGAACTGAGCCGAATTCATTGTGGCTGGAACAGTGAGCGTGAGACAGGAGTAGGCGCCTGAAGTTGTGGCAGGAGGCAGGGGTGGATCTGAGGGTGCCCAGGGCAATGGGAAGCAAGAAAAGTGGAGGAACTTGTTCAGATTTGATTTTTGGAAGAGCACACTGGCTGTGGGGCGGGGAATGGATTGGAAAGAGGCAGAGAGACCAATTAGGAGTTTGTGGCAATACTCCAAGCCTAGGGATGATGGCACCTGCCTTTTGTGCTCAAAGGGGCAGGGGACCACTGCATCAGCAGCATCAAAACACCCGTGAGCTTTTTAGAAATGCAGACTCCTGTCCACACCTCTGAGCAGAATCTGCATTTTAGTAAGATCTCCAGGTCAGGATAAAGCTATTGGTAGATCTGAAAGATAGACATTAGAAAAGGTGAGTCTTAGGTGTAGGCATTGAGGGAGAAGGAAGATTAAATTCTGAACACAACAGCCCAGATAGTTTGCATCACACACGTTCTTTCCTCATCTCTAACTCCCTATTGACTTTTGGTTGCTGGTGTTCAGTAGGTAGCTGTGTCATCTAAGATCTAACATGGATTCTTTTTTTTTTTTTTTTTATTTATTTATTTTGGGACAGAGAGAGACAGAGCATGAACGGGGGAGGGGCAGAGAGAGAGAGGGAGACCAAGAATGGGGGAAACAGGCTCCAGGCTCCTGAGCCATCAGCCCAGAGTCCTGGCCCTTGGCTCTCGAACTCTGAACCAGCGGACTGGCTGAAGTGACACACGCAGCAACGACGGCCTAACCCTGCAGCTAACATGGATTCTTAAATGTTGTAGCTCACTGTGGTCAGATCTCACATTCTGGTCCTCCCTTTTGCAGCTCCAGAAAGTTGATTTTTGTCAATTTGTTTGAATTTGGGATACTGCTCTATAATTAACTTAATTACAGGAATCATATAAGACAGCATCAATGTCAATTTAT